TAGATTTCTAAGTCAGGTAGCCCTGTTTTTGGTGTGGGAGGTTTTTCTAAGTCTCCTTATTTTATTTCTTTGTTAATTTTTAAGTCCTTCAATGGTTGATAATTAAGACTGATCTAGCAGATAAGAAATCTTACTCATTGGCCAGCAGTATTGTACCTAATATTAGTCTCTGTGTGTTATTTTGGGTGAGCATGTGGCAGCAGATCATGAGTGGTTTGGCAGAAAGATTTATCATTACAAAATGGTGTCAGGACGTGGTTTTACAAACTTCCACATAAAAACTTCACAAAAGCTTAAAAGGGGATTTTAGAAGCAAATTATAGAGACAAGCATGACTTCTAGGTAGCAGCATTTTCTCAGGTGATCTCTGTTTTGCTAGAGACAAGCAGAGACTTGAGCGGTTCCTTTAATAGAGGTTTCCTGACTCAGCATAAGTGGAAAACACTGCAGGTCTCTTGATAACAATTCAGTGGTGTGTATGAGCAGTTGGCTCTCCAAGCCGGCAGCCTGTTGATAGTAGCATAGACCAAGACGTTAAGCACAGCTCTCAATGCTGGTGGTAAACGTACTCCTGCCATCTTGGATAGACAGTGGCTAAAACAGCCATTGCTTTAATTTTAGCAATGTCTAGCAGATAAAGACTGCATGGCCAGAAAAACAAAGATTTACAGTAAAGATAGTTTCAGGTGAAGAAAATTCTCTAAAGATTAACAGTGTGTTAAAAATATATGTAGTCTTGTGAGAGAAAAGAAAACAGGATAAAGTAATTAAAGGAAGAAAGAAAGAAGGAAGGAAGGAGGGAGAAGCCGGTTGTGTTGGCGCACACGGGTAGGATTTGCTGAAGGAAGCAGAGGCAGGCGGATTTCCGGAGAAACCCTGTCTCAGGAAAAAAGAAAATTGAAGGAAGTAAAAGAAATAGAATAAAAAATAAACCACATAAAGATGGAAAATACAGAATCTGGATACTATATGCTATATTGTTGTCTTTAAATCGTTTGATTGCCGAGGAAAAGGCTACAGCTACATTTAATTACAGGTGCGGCTAAATAATCCAACTTACATATTTTAAAAATGCTTTGAATTCTAAATTTAAATATAAAGACTGGTTACTTGGGAAAGGAGATTTTGCTTGTTTCCACAGAAAATGGAAAGCTATGGATTCCTTCCAGACTAAAATGGTTTGATCAATCAAGACCCCCTGAAGCAGTGGCCCAACTGATCCTACATCCAAAACAGCTGAGATGATGCAGTCATAGACGACTACAGACAGAATTTCTGTGTTTTATCATGATCCCCATGGTATGGACATCGCCCCCAACCAGCAGGAAGCAGTTTGGAATGAACAACACCCAAATTCCCAAATATTGTCTATAAATGTTTGTTTTCCTTTAAATGCGGGTGGTTATAGGAAAAAAAGGGGAATAGGATATAGGAATGAATACATTGGTATGGATTTTCATTTACTGATACAACTTTAAGGTTAATTTTGTGATATGTAAATTTCTCCTCTTGTTTGGTATTGTGTTCATACAGATATTTCAAAATGTGGTGCATAAGTAAATACAGAATGTATATAGTCAGGAATAGTCAAAACTTATACTTAAGTTAGTTAGGTTTTCTAGATATACAGAGATGTATTTCAGATGGATAGATATTCTTCAAACCTTTCAAAGACCTACAGAATATATGACATTTAAATGCTTTAGAGTTTTTCATGACAATGAGACACAAATGCTCCTGGCACACCAATTACATCTGAGAGGAAGATGGGAATTGAAGAAACTCGTTATGGAGTTTGCCTTCAACATGAAAGGAATAGCCATTTGGGCAAGAAACTGCTCTTGCCTGGACTGTTTTGATAAACTGGACATGCGGGACCCACAAGATAGTGACTGCTAAACTTACAAGATGAACAGTCCTGAAGGGTTCCTGCTTCACTGAGACGTCTGCCAGACACACTGTGGCCTATAGGCTGAAGATGGATGCCCTAATGTCACAGAGGAATTCTGGGTGACTGTCTAGGTAGTATAATTTCTTGGTCAATTCTAGAGTTTATATATTGTCCTTCTGTGGTCTTTGATGGAGTTGAAGAGAGATAGTTATGGTTATAGTTTTATTTAGTTATTATGAAAGACAAGCTACATAAGACCTTGAACTCACAAATATAAGATAGATGATAGAGTATTTTCTTTAAATCTTGTTATATGTTAATGAAATATAGTAACTATAGTTCTTACTTGATAACTGTTTTGTTATGTATTTTACTATGTTAATGGTAAAACCCTTTTTTAAAATATATTTATTTATTTATTTATTTATTCACTGTTTTTTTTTTCGAGACAGGGTTTCTCTGTGGCTTTGGAGGATGTCCTGGAACTAGCTCTTGTAGACTAGGCTGGCCTCGAACTCACAGACATCTGCCTGCCTCTGCCTCCTGAGTACTGGGATTAAAGGTGTGTGCCACCACCACCCGGCAAAACCCTTTTTATTTAGACAGAAAAGAGGAGATGATGGGGGGTGTCATTCTGTATATGTCTCTCTTGGTTAATGAGTAAAACACTGTTGGCCAGTAGGGAAGACAGGTGGGGACTACAATTCGAGGAGGATTCTAGGAAATGTAGTAGAGAGAGGAGGTGCCATGTGACCAAAAGGAAGACAGGACCCAAGGCCGGTATCCTCTATAAGTCTTATAAATATGTACATTAATAGTTTTGGTTCATAATTAAGACTGATCTAGCAAATAAGAAATTCTAGTCATTGGCCAGCAGCATGTTATTTTGGGCGGCCACGTGGCAGTGGGGTTTGAGCGGCTTGGCAGAAAGAGTTATTGTTACAAACAAGTTACATATAAAACTTTAGACTCAAAGATAGGATAGAATAGTTTCTTTAAATTTTGCCAAATGTAAATGGACTAAATATTGTTGACTATAGTTCTTGCTTGATAACTGTTTTATTATATATAATTTTACTATGTTGAAGTTAAAACCTTTCTTTTTATTTACACAGAAAAGAGGAGATGATGGGGCAATGTCCTTCTGTATGCTGTGAATACACATTTCTCTTGTTGGCTTAATAAAACACTGACTGTCTAATAGCCAGGCAGACAGTATATCGGGGCTACCAGACTAGGAGAATGCTGGGAAAAAAGAAAGTGAGTGAGTAGCCAGGCAGACACCATGCAACTACCTGGAAGATAGGATGCTGGGCATTCTCCAGTAAGCCAAACTACATGGAGATAAACAGATGAATGGAAATGGGTTAATAATTAAGAGAGAGCTAGCCAATAAGAGCTAGCCATCTGCCACACTTTGTATTTAATATAAATACCCACATCAGATGACTACAACACACTGGTAACTCCAGTTTCAGAGAAATTCAATGTCTTATTCTAGACTACAAGTGTACCTGAACACATACATACATATAATAGATATATAAACAAACCTTGGAGAAAATATTTAGACAAGGAAGATGGCTCAGCAGGTCAAAGCACTTGTATGTGTCAAGCCTGACACAGGGAGCTCAATTCCCTGGGAACCACATAGTGGAGGGGAAACTAAGTCCTACAAGTTGTCCCTGCCCTCCAAGTGTCATGCATGCACGACTCATAAAAACCAAACTTAAGATTTATTTTAAGGGGGCTGGAGAGATGGCTCAGAGGTTAAGAGCACTGGCTGCTTTTCCAGAGGTCCTGAGTTCAATTCCCAGCAACCACATGGTGGCTCACAACCATCCGTTATAAGATTTGGTGCCCTCTTCTGGTGTGCAGATATACATGGAAGCAGAATGTTGTATACATAATAAATAAAATATTAAAAAAAGATTTATTTTAAAAAAATGTAAAAATTAAAAACTTTAAGAGAGTTGTTGGTGAATATACCAGTATTCAATGAATCAAGGGATACCAGTTATTACTGCCGAGGATTTTATTAAGTCACTGAGAGACAAGATGTGATACGGGCTAATGATTAAGTTTAGAACATAACAAGAAATACTGTAGTCACTGTGATATGACCAGATGTATAGAATGTATGAGGAAGGATTTAGCCAGGAAAAGCAAAAACGAAAGGACTGCATTGCCCATCCAATATAAATACTAAATATTACAATTTTGTTTAAGGCTGAAGGTATAACTTCATGGCAAAGTTCATGTTTAGGATGTGTAAGGCTCTACATTCAATGCCCAGCAACAAAAATAAATTGTTTCCACCTAAAACACATTTCAAACATTAATTTTACAGCTTTAATGGATCAAATTTCAGATACATCTGCAACACGCAAAGGAAAGACACAAGGGCTGTTTTATCTATTACAGTATGAATATTCACTCCTCAAGTTTTTCCCTTACACTGGGACAGAAGCTAAAGAGTTTTGATTTGGGGACCTTGCTCATGATTCATACAATTTTGCTGATTTTCAGATGCTTCTTGGGGGAACCTGAACTCATGTGTTTACACTTGAGCAAATGACATAGTAAACCTTTGACTTGAAGAAAATAGCAGTTCCAATGAACAACTTCCATCTTTGTCTTTAGAATGCCAGTATTTTCTGTAGTAATTCTGAAAATTCCTCTAAAATAAACAGGTAAATGCTGTAGTACTACATGCTTATATACACCTGGGGCTAGAGGAGACAGGAAGAAATCCTGACATTAGGGGTTCTCAGATTTCAAAAATACCTAAATCCTTGTTGTCAATGTTCGACAACCAGAGCTGACAATGCCAATGGCTGATGCTGACGACAGATATTCTCAGAAACAAAGTCTTCCTCATGTAGATAAAGCACTAAGATCATATCATATTCCATATTTGCACTCTATTTTCAACAACATCCCATTTTAATCAATTTCAAATTACTAATCTGTTGGAAAATTTTAAAATGCCTCATGTATTAGCAAATGAAAAATCCATCAATCTTCCTATTCATTCTTCTGGAAAATCAATCATGAGCTGCCCTGGATCCCAGTGGATGGTGTGTGCACGTGTACAGATGCTGCTCACCTCTGCTGCTCCTGCATCATGTGAAGCTGCTCCAGCTTAGTCCTGTGTTCCGACTCCAGTCTGCTCAGCATCTCCTTTATGACGGCAATGAAAGAACTGAACTGGCATGGTAAGAGATAGAT